CCTTCCACCTGTTTGTTAGATCCCCTTCCCACAGTCCCTTGTTAAATTGTGCCTCCCGTCTCTGCTCCCTTTCATTACAGCAATTATTCATTCTTCATTATCATCTGGAACAGTTCCTTCTCCTTTTAAATCTGCAGCAGTCAGTCTCATACCAAAAAAGCCTGGTTTAGATCCTAATGACTTCAATAACCTCCGTCCCATCTCACACCTTCCCTTCATTGCAAAAGTTTTAGAGAAAACTGTGGCATCACAACTTCATTCCCATCTCACTGTCATGATCCACCCCGGCCTCTCTGACTGTGCCTCTCCTGCCCTGATTACCCTTATTGTTCTCACCTGTCCCTCATTACTCTGCCCATGTGTTCCTGCTTCCCTTGTGTATATATACCTCCCTCTTTGCTCCTGTCAGTTGTCAGATCATTGTTGTGTTTTCACCGTGTTACGTTTGCTCCTGCTGTACCATCCTACCTGCCATATTAATTAAACCATTTTTATTTTTTCATCCGTTGCCTGCTCTTCTGCCTCCGGAACCCCCACCACACATGGTCCACCATCTCCATCCTTCCAAACGTGACAGAATGATCAGACCAAACCTGGACCTGTGGTGAGCTAACACCTGTTTGTTGGAGGATTTATTTTTTGCTTTTTCTCCTTTTAGCGGAAGGAGATTCTGACTCAAGGTGTTGGCGCATCCTACCTGTTCTCCTTTTTGGTCAAACCTTTGAGTGGGTTTCGACGCATCCAGTTAGTTCCTGTGGTGATCAAACCCGTCTCCTCTCCTGCTTTCTGCCCCCGTCCTGTTTGATGATGGAAGCCGCGGATCCTGGAGCTTTGAGGGAGTTACACCCCCTACGCACGCCATCATTCTCCGGGGTGGTAGGGCTGGTCTCCCCACTCTTCTCCTGCTTCCCTGCACCCAAGCCTCTGCCTGAGACCCAGCGAATCGTGCTGTGCACCTGCTCAGACCGGTTGTCGAGTACCTGCCGTCGATTCTGGTTTCCTCGCGTCGCTCCTACAGATCATCCACTTCCTGGTCCACGCCTGCAGGGTCCATGCCTGCAGGACCTTCACGCTGCAGTTCCTGCTGGGTCCTATGCCTGCTGCTGTACTTCCTGCTGGGTCCCACGCCTGCCACTGCAGTTTGTTTCCAGTCAAGTCTTCATGTTCCTGTCCAGTCAAGTCCCGAGTCCCAGTCCGAGTCAAGTCCAAGTGTTCCTGGTCTCCTGTGTTGTGTGGGCGTCTGGTATCCGCCCTAAAGGGGGGTACTGTCATGATCCACCCCGGCCTCCCTGACTGTCTCTCCTGCCTTGATTACCCTTATTGTTCTCACCTGTCCCTCATTACTCTGCCCATGTGTTCCTGAGTCCCTTGTGTGTGTGTGTATATATACCTCCCTCTTTGCTCCTGTCAGTTGTCAGATCATTGTTGTGTTTTCACCGTGTTACGTTTGCTCCTGCTGTACCTACCTGCCATATTAATTAAACCATTTTTATTTTTTCATCCGTTGCCTGCTCTTCTGCCTCCGGAACCCCCACCACACGTGGTCCACCATCTCCATCCTTCCAAACGTGACACTCACATGTAATAAGCTCTATGAACATTTTCAGTCTGGCTTCCGCCCGCATCACAGCACCGAAACCGCTCTCATTCGTATAACTAATGATTTACTTCTTGCTGCTGATTCTGGTCTCATTTCCATTCTCCTTCTACTTGACCTGAGTGAGCCTTTGACACCATCTCGCACTCGATCCTCCTAAATAGACCCTCTTCTCTTGGTATCACTCACACCCCCTTCTGCTGGTTCCAGTCATCTCACTGGCCGCACTCAGTTCATTCAGTTAAAATCCTTTTCTTCCAAACCATCCCCAGTCACCTCAGGTGTGCCCCAGGGCTCGGTCCTGGGTCCTCTTCTGTTTATAATCTATCTCCTACCCCTCGGCAATGTCTTCCGTAAATTGGCATACAGTTCCATTGCTACGCGGATGACACCCAGCTCTACATGTCTAGTAAGCCCCAATCCACCCTTCTGCTTTCCACCCTTACCCTCTGCCACTCAAAAATTAAAAAATGGTTCACCTCCAACTTCCTTAAACTTGATAGTAAAACTGAACTTCTCCTGGTCTGTACCAAGTCCAACATTGCCAAAATTGACAGCTTCTCCATAACCATTGACAATACCACGGTTACCCCCACCCCTCAGGTTAAGAGTCTGGGTGTCATCCTCGACATCTCTCTCGTTTCAGGCTCATATCAATAACATAACTCGGTCTGCATACTTTCACCTCCGATCCATAAATCGTCTCCGCCCTTCCCTTACGTTTAAAGCTTGGTTTATGCTTGACTCATTCACTTTCCGCTTGGTGATGCGGCTCGTGGCTGGAACGCACTTCACAACTCGCAGCGTTTATGGTTCATGCGGTTTGTCTCTGCGGTGAGCCAGTATTCTCCCAAACTAAAAGGGGAAGCATGGAGCTCTATGGCATGCATCCAACACTACACCATAGTAGAAGTAGAAATTACTGTTTACAACATGGCATTCCAGCATTTTTAACAGCGTCCTCATCTTTTCCGATAGTGCGAGCTATTTCTCTCCAAGAATTATTAACAACATGTTGATCACGGCGATCTTTGAGAGCTGAATCATACAAATGTCTGTATTTACGAACCTCTGCCATACTAGTTCTTGCCGGTCCGCCATGGTTTTCCGCGTCCGACCGTCCGTGTGGTTAGAAAATTTCCTAGGTGCGTGTCGCGAAAATTTTGGGCCGTGCAGAGGCGCGGTGGAGGGGCATGGTTGTTAAAATGACACAAAATGACGCAACTTTTCCGTGCGGAGCTGTGCGGGTCCTCGCGGACTCGTCAAGCATAAACCAACCTTAACACTACAGCCATCCTAGTCAATAGCCTTGTTACCTCCCGCCTTGATTATTGTAATTCACTTCTGTGTGGTCTCCCTAGCAAACTCACTCATAAACTTCTACACCAACAATAGAAATGCAGTGGTATTAGTCATCTGCCACCAAGTAATTGGACGACCTATCATTGAGGGAAGGTGCTAATATAAATAGAGCCTGGGGTGGTGCCACCGCGATCTTTGCTTTGGCTCAACTTCCGCTTCCTTGGTGAAGCGTAATTGTGTACGGGACTCCGGCGTGTCGGACTGAGTTTTTGCATGTGGTCCTCCCAGAGAAACGGAAGGCTTCTCTTTATCCTATGTGCTTCATAGAAGTGATCGAGGAAGGGGTGTGTCCCCACGGGAGACTTTGTTGTTCTGCTGCTTTTCTGCACTGTTCCATCTGATCCCTGTTTTCCTGCTGATTCGGTGCTGGCCCATCATCCGGTTCCAAGGCCTCTCTACCCCGTTGCTCGGGCTGGTTAAACGGGGGATCGGCTGAGACCATCGGGAGAGGCTTTTCTCTCTCGCTCCTTTGGACCGAGTATCAGCGGAGGACCTACACCCAGTGTGGGTGCAGGTATTTCAACGAAGGGCTGCAGGCCCTACCGCCTGGCAGCCGGCGGCTGTCATCAGCACGGGAGCTTATAAGGACGGCTGAGGCTCAGGCTAAGAGACTGGTTGTGTGTGTGTGTGTGTGGGTGTGCAGGTGAGCTGTAGGCTCTCTCATTTCCTGACGGCCTGTCCGCCCAGCTGTTGCTGTGTGTGTGTGTTTGGAGTTGGATTCTCACCGTGCTCTTTGTTTTCTTTCCATTTAGGCTGAGAGCTGACAGTGGTGGTCAAGCCCTGGTGGTGGTCCCATCGGATGGTGTGCGTGTGCTCCAGAGTCACTTCACTCCCCGAATGCATGCACGTGTGATTGGGGTGAAGTTACTTGTGGTTTGTCTAGAGAGTTAAGTTCTGGGCTCTATTTTAGGCAGTCACATTAGTCAGCCTCAGCCTAAGTTGATTTGGTTTTAATTAGTTTTCATCTGTTAGGTGCATGGTATTTTTAATAGATGATTTTAACTCATTTTATTTTCCTTTAATAAATCTCTGCATATGTGGAATGGAACTCCGTCTCAAGCTTGATCTGTAAAACTGAACTAATGTGCCTTTAGGTTCAGCTGGTTTTGGTTCCTGATTATCAGGTGGCGTTGAATTTTAAATTGATAAGGTGGCCCCCTGGCCACATTTGGCGTTGTTGGCAGGATCCATGTAGCACTGTCATGTAGGTCCATGGATGTGAAATTTGTGGCACCCTGCGCAGGAGCACGAGGACATGCTTGTGGAAAGATGTGACCGTGTGAGCGTCCTGTCACAGTGTCCCGATTGATCATGCGCCCTAGCTACTTGGCCAAGGGGATGTCCCTTTGGCTGACTGGTTAGCATGCGTGACTCTCACCCGGGAGTCTGGGGATAGAATCCCGCCTGGGCCCTTGTTACTCCACCTGGCCACAGAAAGTTGGAGCTGATTTCATCTCATCCTCTCAGATGTTTCTCTGCACCATGAAAATGTTGTTTGGCTGCACACATTTTAATAGCAGACTCTGATGCATCTTTTTGGTCAACTGGACCTGATTCCTTGTTAAATCTCACATCCACAGATGGGAAATCTTCCATCAGAAACTTAATGTCCTTTTGTTTCTGAAGGAGAAAGAACTCTGTGGAACTACAGTTTCTTCTTCACACATCAAGAAGCTTTAAAAAGGCTGAATTTCTGCTTTGTTCCAATTTTTTCTCTGATCAGGTCTTTCTTAGTCCCAGAGCTGAGTAGGTGAGTGTGCAGTGGGAGACAGCAGGTGAAGTGTTGTAGGATTTTATTAGAGACTTGTCACACAATGAGAAAACAGTCCTGGATTCAAGCTTTTAATTCATTGAAAGTTCTTTAAATGGCATTTATTACAAAACTTTTCAAGTAATCGTTTTATTTTTCCAAACAATTCAAAAGAATTTCTCATGAAAGTTAAGTTTTGCTTCACCATTGAATAACAGCAGGTAAATTATGCTGAGAGAGAGAGAGAGAGAGAAAGAGAAAGAGAAAAAGAGAGAGAGAGAGAGAGAGAGAGAGAGAGAGAGAGAGAGAGAGAGAGAGAGAGAGAGAGAGAGAGAGAGAGAGAAGTTCACAATCATGTTTTATTACTAAATGGGACAATCAGTTGAAACTGTTAAGGGAAATTTGTTGAAAATAAATTACAGGAGATGTCCAGAGTTGGGAAGCCTGTGTGTTTATCATGTGTTAATAAAAAACAGCATTTAATTTGCGTTAACAAGCAGTTACTGTTACAGTAAAAGAAAGTTTATTTGGGGTGACTTGCACTTTAAAAACATTCGTAGTGTCCTTTTTGGACTCTCATATGACTGTTTACATTTTTCTTATAGCCAAATCTTTGTCCACATGGCTCACAGGCTAAATGTTTATGTGTGGACTCTCGAGTGATTGTTTAAAGCTGCCCTTCGAGCGAAGCTATTTCCACAGAGTTCACAGACAAAAGGTTTATGTCCTGTGTGGATTCTCATGTGTCTGTTTAATGCTGACTTAAAACTAAATGTTTGCTCACAGAGCTCACATGCAAAACGTTTCTGCCCTGTGTGAACTCTCATGTGACTGTTTAATGTTGATTTATGAATAAATCTTTGCTCACATTGCTCACACGCAAAAGGTTTCTCTCCTGTGTGGACTCTAATGTGTCTGTTTAATGTTGACTTAAAACAAAATGTTTGCTCACAGAGCTCACATGCAAAAGGTTTCTGTCCTGTGTGGACTCTCATGTGACTGTTTAATGTTGACTTAAAACTAAATGTTTGCTCACAGAGCTCACACGCAAAGGCTTTCTCTCCTGTGTGAATTCTCATGTGACTCTTTAATGTTGATTTATGACTAAATCTTTGCTCACATTGCTCACACGCAAAAGGTTTCTGTCCTGTGTGAACTCTCATGTGACTGTTTAATGTTGATTTATGACTAAATCTTTGCTCACATTGCTCACACGCAAAAGGTTTCTGTCCTGTGTGGACTTTCATGTGTATGTTTAATGTTGACTTATTACGAAATGTTTGCTCACAGAGCTCACATGCAAAAGGTTTCTGTCCTGTGTGGACTCTCATGTGACCGTTTAAAGTTTGCCTTTGATTAAAGCTTTTTCCACAGAGTTCACACGCAAAGGGTTTCTCTCCTGTGTGGACTCTCATGTGGATGTTGAATGCTGACTTAAATCTAAATCTTTGCTCACAGAGTTCACACGCAAAAGGTTTCTGTCCTGTGTGGACTCTCCTGTGTCTGTTTAAACCTTTATTATGAATAAATATTTTTCCACAAATGTCACAAATAAATGATTTTGGCTCTTTCTGGACTTTCCTGCATGAGTCCACATGTTGCTTCACTCTAACATTTTTCTTATTAACCAAACATCCTGAAGATCTTACTGCTGAATGACTCGTCACTCTCACATGTCTCTGGAGAGTCCACTTGTGGAGAAACTCTTTACCACACTCAGGGCAGCTAAAGGTCGTAACATCTAACTCAGAAGACCTGCTGTCATTGCAGTCATTGTCTCCATCTCCAGTTTCAGGCCCAGAGTCTAACAACTCATCGTTTAGATTCACATCATCTTCACTAACTTCAGTCTCTGAAGAATCAGATATCTGTTCATTAGGGTTCAGAACTGGGTTCCTGCTAGATTCTGCTCCTCTACCAGTTTCTGCTGTTGTCTGGTCAGCTGAGCTGCTGGTTGGAACATCTCTGTCTTCTATTTGCTGCTGATAAAGAAGCTGTGAGAGCTGAGGTTTGTCTTCATCATCCTCACTTTTTATAGAAACTGATGTGAATGGAAACCTGGCAGAATTAGTCTCCTCCTTCAAATGGAGCTGCTCTCCTTCCTGACTGGTCCAGAGTTCCTTCTGTTCCTCCTTTATGTGGAACATTTCTGGGTCCTGCTGGTCCACACCAACACTCTGATCTTCAGGAGCTTCTTCTTTAACCACGTGGTGAACATCTATGGGAAACAGAAACACATTATGTAAATTAATAACCACTGTAACTTTATTTTCACACATATATTAACGAACAGTTGAATTATTGGTTAAAGTTGGTGAGATCAGAACTAAATCAGAGAACAAAACTTGTGAATTGAGTGACTTTTTCATCTGAGGTGAATGTAAAAATGTTTTTTAAATGTAGGATTACTAGAATTAATCTATTTTTTTAACACCTTGACAACCTCAAACTTCGGTAGAAAGGCCTTTATTTATAAAATGCCTTATTGGTTCTACAACACCCCCCCCCCCACGTTCCCACATTGATTTTAATGAGTTATTACACACAGAACATTATATAAATTAATAAATCTCCTGATTTGCGATATTCTGCACTCGAAGTATGTTTCCAGTCCAACAGAATGCCATTTTCCTCTGAGGTAAGGTCATGTTATTGACAGTGATAACTGTTTATCAGAAGGTAGACCAAGACTTACAATTGCATGTGCTGGTAATAAAATTAGAATAAACTGACTAAGTTGGTTTATTTCAGTCAAAAAGCGAAACTTTTATATAAGATTAATTCATTACACATAAACTGATTTATTTCAATTTTTTATTTCTTTTAATGTTGCTGATTATAACTGACAACTAATGAAAATCCCAATATCAGTATCTCAGAACATTAGAATATAAGACCAATGCAAAAAAACGATTTTTAGAAACGTTGGCCAACTGAAAAGTATAAACATGAAAAGTATGAGAATGTACACCACTCGGTATGTATTTGGGACTCCTTTGGCCTGGATGACTGCATCAATGCAGCGTGGCATGGAGTCTATCGGTCTGTGGTACTGCTCAGGTGTTATGAGAGCCTACGTTGGTCTGTTAGTGGCCTTCAGCTATTCTGAATTGTTGGCTCTGATGTATTACATCTACCTCTTCACAATACCCCAGAGTAGGATCGAGTGATATGGCCTACAGTCCATATCACGATAAATTTTGAAGCACATGTTGTAACGATATATTTCGCAATATATTATTTTCTTCTGTTTATACATGTAAAATTACTGTTTTTGAACAATCTCACATACGAGGTGAATTGTAGGGTTAGGGTTAGAATGTAATAATTTGGCACGTTTCTAATTCGTAATTTGTAAGAATGTAATTAGCGATATTAGCATTAGCATCTCAATGGGTTTTTCAATGTATATTAGCATAGCAGACCTGCCAACCTTGTCAAAAATTTTTGAGTACCACTTGTGCGGCATTTTTTCGCGGACTTTTGCAACTCCATTGCTTTTCATGCTGTAATCTCCCCATTCACACGATTGAAAATTTTATACACACACAAACACACGCACAGTTTACCTAACCAGAACAGCAGCGAGTGGCGAACCGGAGGGAGAGAGGAGCAGCGGGCAGGACGAAGCAGGGAGGAGGGGGGGCAGGGGTGTTACGCTATAGGGTAAGCAGGATAGTTAGCTCTGGTTGTTCTCTGCTTTTCTACGATGATTGGCTTAAACTTCTTCACCACGCCGCTGAGTCGTGTTGTGCATATTTGCCACAGAACTCAACTCACGTATCCGCAGATTTTTGCATAGTTTAGAGGGGTGAGTCGTACCAGCGTAAATAGATGCCAAGTTGCGTACTGGCTACGCAAAATGTGTACAGGTTGGCAGTTCTGGTATTATGCTAACCACTTGCTGCCAGTCAAATCACAGCCTTTGAGGTTAGAAAATCTCCTTTTGTCACATCGCAATTTAATTGCATATGCAATTAATCGTTCTGCCCTATTCTGATGTATAGCATCTTCCTCTTCATGACACCCTATAGTAGGGGTAGCGATAAGGCCTAAAATCTATATCGCAATATTTTAAGCACATGCGGTAACGATATATATTGCGATATATTATTTTCTTCTGTTTATAAATGTAAAAATGACCCAGTTCTTAACGATTATACATACCAGGTTAATTGTAGAACAAAATGTACAGAATAAATTTCAGTATGTTACATTTAATTTTCAAAAAGTATTTATTAAATACAAAATACCACAGAATAAAGATAAAAAATATTTTAAATAAAATACAAGCAAAATGTGATGAAAATGCTAAATTCTAAATTTTATGAACAAAAGTGAAAAAATAACATTTCTTTCTGCTTTCCTGTTTCATCATGCTTTTTTGATGATCAAAGTTAGGTTTTACTTCAGGAGTGATAAACTGCAGGCAAAATGATGCCGCAGGTTACAAAGTTAATTAAAAGTTGTTTGATGAGCTATCAACTTGTCTTTATTAGTAGATGGCACAGAAGTGATACTTCAAACTAGAAGCTAATGATGGGTTTATTAGAGCATCCTGGTACAATAAACTAAACTTTTATGAATGACACGATTCGTCATCTAATTGTCAACAAAGCGTGCGATTAGTCAACTATTAAAATAGTCGTTTGTGGCAGCCCTACTCTCCATAAACTTCAGAGCGGCACCATCTCCATGGCCGGCGGGAGACAGTAGCTTGTTCCGTGTTAGAGAGGATGTAGCGGCGAACCAGCAGTTGTTTGTGGGCATTGAACTTCTCCTGGGCTGGAGAGTTTTGGAGCAGGCACATCACCCACCGGGTGGAAAGTGGATCCAGTTTAGCAACTACATGGTGGTATTTTGTGTCACCGGAAGAAATTTTGCGCAGTACAAACGACGTTTTCGTGTGAAAAAAACTTGCTGATGGTTCGTGCAGCCAAAAGTATGGAAACGTCGTCAGACAGTACACTCAATTAATCAATGGATGATTAAACAGAATACTCAAATACTAAAATATTCTATAGCTGCAGCCCTACTAAACATATCTAAATATATTCATATGTGATCAGTAGAATTTAATTATTTCAGCAACATGTTCAGTAGTAATCTACTGGAAATTATAATAACATTTAACATCTAACAGCAACAATGTAATGGCGTGCTACATGCTGGCTTAGCATTAGCTTTTTCTGTCCTGGCCCCATACTTACTGGTTATTTGAAATGCTAGTCTGGCCTCCTGTGTGGTCCCCCTTAGGGCTGTTATGTGACCCCTGTTGAAAAAGAAGGGGATGCAGGAAACTGTGTTAGCCAATTACAGCCCTATCTCACATCTACCCTTCATATCTGAATTGCTTGAGCGGGCTGTATATTCAGTCAGGGTTTAGAACAGGTCACAGTACAGAGACTGTGCTGTTACTGGTTCTTAACAGTGTTTTATTTTTATTTTTTAGCTTGTGATAGGGGGTGATGCTGTCATTCTTTTGATGTTGGACCTGTCAGCAGCCTTTGATACGGTCGATCATGAAATTCGTCTGGATCGGCAACAACATCGGGTGGGAATCACAGGTGTGGCCCTACAATGGCTATGCTCTTCTTCGGCTGTATTGTATGCTGATGATTGTCAGATCTACCTCCCTTTTCAATGGGGGGGGGGGGTTGATGGATCAATATTAAAGCTTATAGATGCCTTAGAGGACGTCCACTCCTGGACGGCAAATCTTTTTTACATTTGAATGACACGAAGACTGAACTGATTGTACTTAGCCCTGGCGGCAGGAATAATTTTTGCTATGCTTAAGCAATGTATTGGCAGGAATGCCAATGTGATCATCCACACTGGCAGCCATGTCTATTATTTGGCACATCGATAATAAGGCAAACGGCACTGGGATCCCATTACTTGGAATGGAGCCGCTTCTCAGTGCAAAATGAACAAAACCACAATTATCACCATCAGAACACAGAACAAAAGATTAACAACATCCAACACAATGCTGGCAACAAACCCCCAACAAAACACACCAAAATAGAACAACTGGAAACCTGGCTATCCACTCGCCTGCTGCTCGTTCCAGTCAATGGTGTCATTAGTGACCCCGCCCATCGCGAAACAGACAACGTGCTTAGGTGCATTGAGGGTAGCTGGTTTTCAGTTGTTTTGTCCTATTTTTTTGTGTTTTCAAGTGTTTTGTTGGGGTTTTATTGCTAGGTTTGTGTTGGCTGTTGTGTGTCTTCTGTTCAGTGTTTTGATGGTGCTATTTCTGGTTGGTGTTAATTTTGCACCACGAGTACCATTCTGAGCAATAGGATCCCACTGCTGTTCAGATTCAGATTCATTTATTAATGACCACACAACAAGTTGGTGGAATTTGTTTTCAGTACAGCATGGCATGCTCACATCTTACATCTCTTCACACAAAAGTCCACATTCAATGGCAGGAACACATAGACATTTCAGGTAAAGACTTGACTTAGTTTGTTCATTCAGTTCAATTCAAAAATACTTTATTAATCCCAGAGGGAAATTAGATCAATGTTTTTAACATTAGTCATGGCTTTCAGTGTTTGCTTATGTTTAATGCTAACTGTTAGCAATTTTCCTTATGCATTGCATCAATATCACAAAACTGATTGCTGATTTTAGTGTTGAGGTGATGATTACAGTTAGGAACAGCTGCTGAAAGTAACTTGTAATCTAAATTTGCTACTTTTGACATGCAGTAATCAGTAAAGTAACTTAGTTACTTCTGAATATACTAATCAGTAGTCAGTAATCATACTGCTATTTCAAGGTAACTGTGGCAACACTGATACCATGTGATCTACTTTCAACAGTACGCCGGTTGTAACCGTAGACTGCACAGAAACTGGCATAGTTGCTCACTCTGCATTGACTTTGGAGTGAGGAGACCCATCCAGCATGGCGGCAACACAGTTACGTTCTCCTGCACCCAACAGGGCGTCTACGTATTCATGTTTATGGTGCAGTGCTTTAACCCGAAGAGGGCGCTACACTGGCAGTTTAAAGCTTAATGTTTACATTTTAAATAAGATGCACTAAAACATCTAAATAATGACCTCAATTGTCTACAGCATTTTTAGTCACTAGTTTAGACCATTTATCAGTATAAGAAAGTTAATTTGGGGGTGACTTGCAATTTAAATACATTTGTTATGTCCTTTGTGGACTCTCATGTGACTGTTTAATCTTTTCTTATAGCTAAATCTTTGTCCACAGAGCTCGCAGGCAAAAGGCTTCTGTCCCGTGTGGACTCTCATGTGACTGTTTAAATTTGTCCTTCGATTAAAGCTTCTCCCACAGAGCTCACAGACAAAAGGTTTCTGCCCTGTGTGGACTCTCATGTGACTGTTTAAAGTTGAACTTCGATTAAAACGTCTTCCACAGAGTTCACAGGCAAAAGGTTTTTGTCCTGTGTGGACTCTAATGTGTCTGTTTAAAGTTGTCCTTTGATTAAAAATTTTTCCACAGAACTCACAGGCAAAAGGATTCTGTCCTGTGTGAACTCTCATGTGTCTGTTTAAATTGGTCCTATGAGTAAAGCTTTTCCCACAGAGTGCACAGGCAAAAGGTTTCTCGCCAGTGTGGACTCTCAAGTGACTGTTTAAATTTGTCCTTCGATTAAAGCTTCTCCCACAGATCTCACAGACAAACGGTTTCTCTCCTGTGTGAACTCTCATGTGATTGTTTAAAATAGTTCTTCTACAAAAGCTTTTTCCACAGAGTTCACACGCAAAATGTTTCTGTCCTGTGTGGTCTCTCATGTGACCATTTAAACTTTTATTATGACGAAATATTTTTCTACAAATGTCGCAACTAAACGATTTTAGTTCTTTCTGGACTTTCATGGATGAGTCCACATGTTGTTTTAATCTAACTGTTTTCTTATTCACCAAACATCCTGAAGATCTTATTGCTGAATGACTCGTCACTCTCACATGTCTCTGGAGAGTCCGCTTGTGGAGAAACTCTTTACCACACTCAGGACAGCTAAATGAGTTGTTGACAGTCTTAACATCTGACTCACAAGACCTGTTTTCACCGCAGTCATTGTCTCCATCTCCAGTTTCAGGCCCAGATTCTAACAACTCAATGTTTAGATTCATATCATCTTCACTAACTTCAGTCTCTGAAGAATCAGATATCTGTTCATTAGAGTTCAGAACTGGGTTGCTGCTAGATTCTGCTCCTCTACCAGTTTCTGCTGTTGTCTGGTCAGCTGAGCTGCTGGTTAGAACATCTCTGTCTTCTATTTGCTGCTGATAAAGAAGCTGTGAGAACAGAGGTTTGTCTTCATCATCCTCACTTTTTATAGAAACTGATGTGAATGGAAACCTGGCAAGTTTAGCTTCTTCCTTCAAATGGAGCTGCTCTCCTTCCAGACTTGTCCAGACTTCCTCCTGTTCTTCTTTCATGTGGAACTGTTCTGGATCCTGCTGGTCCACACCAGCACTCTGATCTTCAGGAGCTTCTTCTTTAACCATCTGGTGAAAATCTGTGGGAAACAGAAACACATTATCTTAATAAATAACCACTGTAACTTTATTTTCACACACATATTAACAAACAGTTGAATTATTTGTTTAAGTTGGTGAGATCAGAACTAATAATAATATTAATAATAATACATTTTATTTATTTATTTTTTAATTATTATCTTTATTTCATTCAATAAAAAAATAACACAACAGATACTAAACAATATTCAAAAAACACAATGTATATTTGAATGCTTTATATTTAACAGCATCTTTCATGACACCCATGGACACTTTACAACAATTGGGGAAAAGTAACTAAATACAACAAGATAAACACAGTACAGAAATATGTAAAGACCCTAAAATGCTTTGATTATCTTCCAATACTGAGTCCTGTTCTGATACCAGGTGGTGATGCAACGCATTATAAAAGAAGAAAGAAGTCGTCCTGTCTGTGTTTGTCATTTTAGCCTGAAAAGGTCCCTCATTCAGGAAGTACACTTAACAGGAATCAAGATTCAAGATACTTTATTGCTATTGCACAGGTGTACAACCAAATATAATTTGTGCTTACTAAAGACAGCTCTAGTAAGAGGTAGTAAAATAAATGTAAAATAAATGCAACCACAGAGACTTATCCAGTGTGATCTACAGCTATGTTAGCTGAGATTTTTATCCTGTCAGTAGAAAATTCTTGATCCCATTCCATGATCTCACTGAACTTACCACTAAACATGAGAGCTCTGCTACCAACCTAACAACACCCTTTACACAAAGGCACCACCATCACATACGTGGCAGGAGTCGCAGAGAAACTTAGTAGAATCTTCTCCAAACACGACATCCCGGTAAACTTTAAACCCAACAACACCCTCAAACAGAACCTGGTCCATCCAGAAGACAAAACACCCAAACAGAAGCTCAGTGGCGACATTTATGCAGTCCAGTGTAGGAGCACTGTCCAGATGTTTACATTAGAGAAACTAAACAACAATTACACAAGAACATAACACAACACAGGAGAGCCACCTCTTCAGGTCAAAACTCTGCAGTCCACCTTCACCTGAAGGACAACGGACACACCTTTGAAGATGACAAAGTCCACATTCTGGACAGAGAAGATAGATGATTTGAGAGAGGAGTAAAAGAAGCTATCTATGTCAAAACGTGGAAACCCCACTTTAAATAGGGGCGGGGCTTAGATTTCACCTTTCCAGTACCAATAATGCAGCTTTGACTCTCATTCCTAAGCAGTTTCAGTCTAGGTCACACCTTCCTGCATCTAATCAACACGATGACTCACCATCAGTAGAGGCTAACGACTCATCAGGAGATGGAGAGGCGGGGTACTCAGAGTAGTTTCTGCTCTTTAAATAACAACAGACAGCTACAGCTTATGAGCTTGACTCTCCCAAATTCCAGTTAGAACTGACAAAGCTCCTCAGATGAGAAGTGAAATGTTTTAAAGAAACCAAAGAAGTCCAGTTGCCTTCATCAGTCGCCTCTGTCAGTGCGCCCCACGGCAGCTGTGACTACATCGTAGCTCATCACCATCAGTGTGTGAATGTGTGTGTGATGGATTACACTGTAGTGTAAAGCACTTTGGAGTCCTTACTTTGAAAGGCGCTATACAAGTGCGGGTCATCTATCATTATCATTTATCATTCATCTGAACCCTTTGGAGTAATAGTCAATAATAAAAAAATACGTAATAAAACGTATATAATTATGCTCACATTCACTTTTACCATCTCTTTGTGGGAGGCAGAAAAATTATCACGTTTAACCCTCTTATGACCATAAATATAACAAGTTTTTTTTGTTTTGTTTTATGGCTTTAAAATTGTAATAAAAGTGTAAAATGTTTGTAACTCTGCTCCTTTTTCCAGAACAACCTCAGCTTTCAGTGTCTAGTTTGTATTTGTGTTTATGTTTATTAAAGTCTGCAAAACTGAAAATTAAATGAAAAAAAAAGGATTTGAATTTTATTTACATTTATTACTAAACAGGAACTTCAAAATGACTTGAGCAAACTATGTCAAAAGAACTATTTAAACTCAGAACTAACACTCAGAAAACAGTGTGACCCCTGACCTCACGATTACCAGTTTAATGACTGCAGCCTGTCTGTGACCACAGGTCTACGCTCTGGTCCAGAGAACGGGATACAGTAAAATAAATACTAGGTATCATAAAATAACACTCATGGGCTACTTCACAGCTGTAGCTACATTTCTACCAGCATTATGAAGATCAATAAGCAGATAAAAGGTTAAATTTAAACATTTCATTACAAAAAGTCAGCTAATAAAATTCTGCACTGATAAAATGATATTTTCAGCTAAATAAATATTTATTGTACGTATAAATAATGCTGGAATGAAGCTGAATCATTTAGTAAACAGTTGAGTGTTCAAATAAAAACCAGTGGGACTTTAATCTGTCCCTCCTCATGTCACTATCTACAGAAACAGCCTTCTGGGACACCTGACCAACCAGGTGGATTTTATTTGTGACGTTTCCATAACTTTATAAAAGCTGCTGATGAAGATGATCAGACCGTCTCCTCCTTTCGGTTCTCGCTCTCCCGTCGCGGTTCGCTCCGTTTCTTTCAGTGACGCTGCGAAGCTGGTTTCCTTCTAATAGCGATTTTTGGAGTAACATGAATAACATCATGTAATACCTCGTTGGAAAGCTCGTTTTATGTACTTTTAGAACCCGTTTGAAGTATTTTTATTCGATTAGTAATTCAGAAGTTATGACCCGGAGAATCTAGAGTGAGACACATCCGTGATTCTTGTGAGTTTCTTCAACACTTCATGAGAAGTCTCTCTCATGTCTCATTTTCTGTCCCAGACATGCAGCTACCCGACTCTGCTCCACACACACTAGCCACGGACTCAAACGCACGTAAACAAAAGCTCTGACATTAAAATCCATCCAGCTGACGTGAAGCAGGCAGAAAAAAACGTACAGGTAGATGAACGCAGACTCCTGCCCACAGGCAAAACACCGGTCTGTCGTCTCCGTGGCTGCAAGGTAGAGCGACAGCAGGGACAACCAATCACACGTTAGTATGATGCGGGAGAGCCAATCAGTGAGCTCGTAGGCGGGTCTAAGGGAAAATAGGCTTCAGCTTGAGGCGGCTGCCTCCGCATGGTCCTAGTGCCTGATATGTATCACAGTATCAGGGGTGGACCGTTAAAGCGCCCGAGCGCCAATGGCGCAAAATTTTCTCGTCGGGCGGTAAATACTTGACGACTTACCGCCCGGGTGGCGCCCAAGCTTTATTTGTCATTTACACACCGGCTTTCACCTACATCATGGCCCCGCCCTGTAGGAAGCCGCAGTTTTCGTTTCGCGCGCGTGAACCTGTGCGCCTCTAGCCACGTACTGCACTTGTACGATTCGTGCACGTACTGCACGATTCTAGTTATAGTCACCTGAACTATAAGTTCACTATTAAAGACGAAGTGGAACCACGCTAGAAACACACAAGCACGCAGGAAGATCGCGCCACCACAGGGATGGGATTTCTTGATGAAATCTCCGGCAAAACGCTTTAAAACTGGTGAGGAGAAGCGAGACAGTTGGAAACGGTATGAAGCAGAGAAGCGTGTGCGTAGGTGGAATGATTCTTGGAGGTTTAAAGAAGACGGGAAGCGTGGAGAATGGCCGTATTTGAGTTGAGTAGCGGCTCGTCTGGAAAACAGACGAGAGCAGACGGAAGCAGCAGGGGGAGTGGCTGAAAGCTGGCGTTTCGCCGGGGACACAATGGCCGCGGAAGCGCCCGAAGCGAATCGCTCACGAAGTCCGGCCGCTGCTTGCCGCTCCTCAGTTCAGATCAGACGCGCCCCATTCGAGGCGCGCCTCGGCTCAGCTGTAGTTTTTCTTTTAACTACCTGGTGTCCTCCATTTCCTCAGCTCTTTTCGCTCTACGTGTGAGTGAGTGAGAGAGTGAGAGAGTGAGAGAGAGAGAGAGAGAGAGAGAGAGAGAGCGAGAGAGAGAGAGAGAGAGAATGTTTGTGAATGTGTACAAAATAAAGGTTTATTCCTTTTAAAACGGTTCAGTTGTTATTTTGACTCGTTTTGGCAGCTGACCAGCGGGGCCGGTAGATTCTTGGCAGGGCCGGTAAATATTCAGAGTTACCGGCCCGGCTGGCCGGTTGGTTTTGAAGTGAATGTCCACCCCTGAGTATAACAGTTTTGTACGGTAAAATCTGACGAACGACCGGAAAAAGGGCACTTTGGGCACTTCGGACAAAAGGGGCAGGCGCTCAAGCACCCTCTGCACGTGCCAATGTCGGTGGAATGCTACCCAACAACCTCATAGACACCAGAGGAACACATTTGCCCCACTCTCATGAATTTGCTTCGTTCAAAAAGGAGCCAGTCTTTTGAACAGCTATTAGAGGCAAATGGCCGACTAATGAATGGCTCCCATGAAAGAGCCATAAATCCCATCAGTTGTTGTGAAGCGTGTTGAATTGTCATTGCCAGTTTCATCTGGGTGTCTGTTACGTCCTGGCTATGCTAGGAAGGTAAGGAGGTAACATAAACCTGTGGCCAGATGGAATGGGAGGAGTACATGCATTTAATAAAGGAAAACAGCAGATAAATAAACTTACAATTTACAGATAAATACTAACAGAGAAAAACCTTACCAGACAAACATTCACAATACTAACTTAACGCTAGGGCTGTCGCAATAATCGCAAGAACAATATATCGCGATATTAAGAAACCCACCGCGCTGCATGACGTGCCACCGCAATTACCGCACTTGATTAAATCTCGCGACAGCGCATGCTGAGAGGTAAAGTCCGCGCTGATCGAGGAGATAGTAGGGCACTTTTTTTATTTCTGTTAGATGTTGCAGCCAAATTTGCATTTCAACGTTAAACCTCCTGAATGTTGTTTTTAAGTTCAGTCAGAGAGTGCCGTTACTGCCCTTTGATCTGCATTCAATAAAGTGTTAAAAATGGCCATGTATTTTTTTCTAACATTTTTTAAA